AGGCACAAGTGACCCAAATCTGATTTTCTTTTGCTCATATGTGACTCAGATCCATTTTTTTCTGGTCTGATTTGTTTGCAATGCAACCTCAGTGTCAACAGTCATATCAGAAACCATGACTTTTATGTCACTCTAGATCTTTTGTGATGGAGCTCACTTCAGGATCGTGACCTGTGCACACTGGAATCAGATATGGGCCACATAAAAAAAAAAAAAATAAGTGAAGAGCGAAAAAAAAAAGAATCAGATCTGAGCGCTAAGGTTTGCAGTGTGAAGGGAGCTTAATTAGGATTTAAGATTTTTTGAGACAATGATTTATGTTTATGTTTATGTTTATTTTTCAATGCAACACTGCACTGGCTTGTGACCTGTTGGAAGAGCATGCCAACCAGTGCTCAATATTACAAGCTATGGATAAATGTGCTGGAGAAGCAGGTGTGTAGCAGATAACGTAAGCAAAAGACAGGCTTACAGTCAGCAGGGTTAAGACCACGGGGCTACGGTAGGCAGATGGTCAGAACAGAAACAATGCTGGAAACAACTGATACAGAATCTAGTTCATTGTGGAGCTAATGTGAAACAGCTGTGCAGCCAGATGGGCAGGTAGTTTACAGGAGCAGCAGACTCTGCAGTGGCAGCTAGAGGCCAGGTGAGGAACTGCACGTCTGAGATCATAAATGGAGACGAAGTAAACAGGGGAAGAGGAGTCAGAGGATAGAGCCGATGATAGAGAGACAGTTTATCCCAAACAAGATGAGAAAAGGCAGGAGTTTCTGGAAACATGGCAACTAAAAGGCAAACAGTTACATGATTAAGAAAAAAGTGAACTGTAATCCAATCATTACGATTTTAAAATACAGATACAGATACACACTGCCATGCACATACTCTTCACAAGTCTCACAACGCCACTCTGGTCTCAAGTGAAACCACCTTAGAGGTTGCCAGTTCATTATCGTGGCCTCTGGTGAAAGAAATGCTTTCACCGGCTGTAAATTCAGCCATTATTTTGTCATCAAGGCAGAAAAAAGGGAACATCACAGCACTGTGCAAGCTCTACCCTCCAGCTGTGAAAATGATCTATAGGCTACTGCCTGAAGTTCTTCTTTAAAAATACTGAGAGGACGTTTTATGATGGTAAAAATCTTTCTTTTTTAAGCTCACATTGTTCTGTTGTCTTAATACACATTATTATTGATATTTCTATTCTTTTGTCTTTGTTTGAATATTTTGTGTTTTGATGTAATCAAGTTTAATTTAATGTAATATTTTACTACTGTGATACTTGGATTAGGTTACTGATCATGTTTTAACAGGTAAGCAGTCATTTTATTGGATAATAATAACCCAACCCTGCTAATATCATTTTAAACCTGTTAAATTAAAGGCTACAATGTCTCAGTTTGATTTGATTAATGAATACATGAAATCACATTTATACAGTATTGTACTTATCAAGATAGTATCAGTAGTAGCAGAGGCTTGTTATAATATTTTATAATTTGGTAATCACTTAAGTTCTCACATAGTTCAATACTGTGGTACTACCAATTGCTAGCATGCTAACTTACTAAATTTAAAACTAAACATTACTCCATTAATGTGAGCATGTTTGCATGGCTGTAGACTCCTAGTCTCATTATATATTATCATCAATTCACATTGTCCACAGACTCACAATTTAGGAAGATTTTGTCAATCAATAATCAAACTAGGATCACTATAAATTATAAGCAATCAAACTGGCCAATCCTATATCTTCCCTTGTTGTTCGAACTTCAAAAAAATATGAAAGAAATTAAAATATTCTATTTCTCCTTTTTTCTGGGTGACCCCCTAAAACCCACTCAATAATAATGGCCAATATAATGTAAAACAACCCTGAACCGTCGTATGTGTTTTATAGAGACATAAAATGGGATTTAGGTTAGCTATGTTACAGAATTGTATTCTTAGACTCTCTACCCTAAAAACATCAACATCGATATGTAGTGCAGCAAGTGAGGAGTTCCTGAATGAGGACAGAGAGGAAGCAAACTGCAGCCGTCTAAAGCTTCAACTTAAAATCAGTGCAAAGTAAAATCTGAACAAAATGACAATTATTCTTTATTTTGATTTGTGTCTCCAACAACAGATTATGTAATAAAACCAGTATTTTGTAACAATCTGCTGCATTTTGTAATCAACGGCCTCAATCCAATATGTACATTTTCCCACATTTTAAAATGAATTATTACATATTGAGGTGGATATGACCTGCATTTTGAATAAGCTGAAGCTTTTTGATGGTCTTTTTGTGTCTGTTCCATTGCAATAGAACAGACACAGACACAGAAGTAACACAATCTGCAGCTCCTCTAACAGCTTCTTGGGGTAGTGAGTCACCCTTCATACGGCCCCATATTAAATTGTCCAACTTAACAGCAGAAATAAACATGTTTACAGTCTGGTACAATAAATGGTTTTAA